TAAAATTTATTGCAAATAAAATAATAGATAGCGAAACGACATCGATGTTTAGGTTTGATTTGAAAAAAATTGTTTTAGAATCGCTGGATTATTTCAACAGCAAACAGCATATATCTGTTCACAGTATATTTCAAAATGTCACGCTTTCGCCTCCAATTTATTTATATTTTTTGAATTAAACACGGTGCGTACGGTTTCCGGATTGTTTGGGCTCCGTACGATGAAAGAGGTATGAAATGTAATGCAACAAAATCTAACTTAGTGTTTACAGTTCGCTCTGAAATGATTATTTTGTTTGAGAAAAAACAGAGAATGGAAATATTCGCGAATAATTCCACTAAATTGCGATCCATTTTTATCGTCTCGAGTTCAAAGATCACTTTCGAAACTTTTAAAGCTCGCTAAATTTAACAATTTCGGGAAAATTTCGCGTCGTGTTCATTAGACAAGCACCTCGTGTACTTTTCTATTTCTATTATATTATCCCCAGTCATCAATCTCTTGTAATCCCTGACTTCATCCCCCAGCTGGGGCCTGTCAAGGCTCGTCTGGCATTGCGCCGGCGCTTTTCATACCACACAAGATATTAACTGAGCAATTAACGGATTTAATATTTATGATACGTGCGTGAACATACAAAGTTAAGTAGGCAGTAAGCAGAGCCAACATAACGAATGCCCGATGCGTCTTCATTAGCACACCGAATATACGATTTCTGTATTGATGACCGTCACGCACGAAATGCCCAATGAAATATTCATCATCATCATCGCGCACACAAATCGCCTTTTTTTCCACTTTAAGCTACCATTACTTTGCGATAAATCAAATTCGAGCTAAGTAATTTGCAAAATTTCTGAAAAGTCTTGAGTACTTTTGTACCCCCATAACTTGCCTCTAGCTTCATTTGGAGGTAACTGTACACATACAGTATTAATCAAGCAAAAGTGCCCATTTTCTTCTATTAATCTCCATCGAATTCGTCGTGATCTCGGCGCAGTTTACGGTGATTAAGGCAAAGTTGGTCGTCACGTATCTCTTATTACTCGGGTTATGTTTAATAGGATGGGAACTAGAGAAACGTAATAAATCTAAATCTGCACGATGTGAGAGGTGGAGGAACATCATAGCATTTGGAGGGTGAGGAGTGATCTTCAGGACCGTTCGGCTGGTATTTGTGATCAACACGGATGGTTGGCATACCAGCATACCGACGGAGCAGTTATCAGTCGGGGAGGATCTCGTAACAGACAGTCCTCGCCTCAGCTATGCGCTCCCCGACGTTTACGATTCATTAAAATTAGATTGCAGATAAGATATCGCACCAACCATATCACTACACTATTTATACACTTCACTTAAGGGCTCCAGGGCGTGCTTCATGTGTGGACACCAGCGATCTCCGAGGGATAAACGCAAAAGACCTCACAGATGAGGATGACAATTCATAAAAAAACGAACCTTATAATTGTGACAACTCAAATTTGCGCTACCTTTGGTCCAGTTTACCTATAAAATATGGGAAACAGTTTCTGTCACTCGAAGAGAATTATCGATTTCATCTTTGTCGTAATATGATATTCCGTTCGGGTGTGTAGTTGTCGTCGGGATGGATTTATAGTTAAAATTTCGGTAATAACGAGTAAAGTTGAGTGTGCAAAAAGATTCAAGGCCGTGGTTGCAATTTGGCCGTGTCGCGCTGCTATACGCCTCGCAATTTATCTGGAACGCAGTATGTAATGATCCGGATCGACTCCGGGAAAGCAATTTAAATTATAAAAGTCCGGGCGAGTATTGCATCAAGCCGGAGTGGAAAACGAGAGAGAGTATCGAGGCATGGATTTGGATCTCCCCCCGAGTTACTCCAGCCGCCTCCGCAGACGACCCTTCATTTGAACTAAACAAATCCGGGCCGCCAATAAATCACCGGCGAGCCGTTCCCGCCACCGGGGAAAAGCTCGAGCCGAAGCTTTCATAAAACTCACTCCGAATAAGTCGGCTCGTGTTGCTGCTGCTCCCGATTGAAACTGCTGTGCCCCTCTTCAGGTGCCCATGCATTATTGTAATATAATAAGAGACGTTTCTGCCGGAATAATGGCTCGAGTTCCTCGCTCCGGGCTAGCTCAAATGGGATGATTGCTTCGCTACCGCTACCGAAGGATTAGCTTTTTTATTATAACTGTTATCATAGTAATTGCGGTTATAGTTGGAAGTATAGCATAGAGTTCTTACGTTAACCTGCCTTTTACCGGCTCTATACTTAGACGCGAAACCGGCAATGCCGCAGTGCCATTATCGGGTTCATAATTTTATACCTGGGTGACTTTATTACTGCTTTTTACTACTGCAGTCAACTGCTTTGATAAATGGGGCGGCACGGGTACATACTCCAATCGGATTTTCTTACAAAAAATCTCCCAAACTTATATTCGTATAATCACCAATAACTTATTTGCAAATGTCTAATTACAACCACTCTTAAACACCCGAACTAAAGCATTTAATTAAGAAGTACAAGAATCATAAAACTAGGCAACTTTCATTATTTATAAGCTCCTGAGCACTGGGTTGCCTACGTTTATTACATAATTGAAATTAAGTAATAAATTATTATCATTACTAAAATAGGCTCTGTTTGAACTCCATCTCTAATTTCGAAAATTTAAACAACGCCATTTTTTATTTGGCATTAGACGAAATTAACTAAAACAATTTAGGACAGAGAGAACTAAACATTTAAATTTTAGTTTGTTATTAAGTAGTTTTTAATTTGGTTTTATTAAATTTTCTTCTTGCTTATTTTTTGTTTAAATTAGTGTTTACAATGCACTCGTATAGTTTTTAGTTGCAAATATAGCAATTAATTTTAATTAGAATCATTTTACAAATTGCTTGTTTGTATTATCCAGCAGTAACTTTTTGTTTAGTTTTGAAATTTGCTCACGTCGTAAACACACATACTAGTAATACAAATGGGAAGAATTGAATTGCGTGTACCTGCAAATGCATAAAGTATAAATAACCGTTTAGCTGTTGTCTTTTATGTTTGCACTTAGCATCATTTTCCATTAGTTAATAGTTTCGTCGACAAGACCTTCTCTCGAAAGCAATCTGGTCTTGAGAGTGTGGCAAAAAGTGAGCATTATATTAAAAGCGAATGGAGCAAGGAAGGTCGTTGGGGAAAAGTCCGATAATTGAAAAACGGTTGCAACCCTTACGGCATTAGTCTCATAATAAGAAAATATCGAATAATTGCGGCGAAAATTACAAGAGGGAAACAAACAATCTAGTTCCTCATAAGCGTGTCGGTGCACGGCGGCACATTCAGGGGAGATAAAGGAATTTGCCGAGGGGATCCCTAGGGAAGAGGCCGGTGGGCCGGGATTTAGACGAACAGAAGTCAGATCATTTGGAGTTGTACGGAGCCTCACTAAACATGATGGATGCCGAGGGGTTACATTCAATCAAATCTCCCGAAATAATCTCGGCCCTGATTTGATGGCGGACGGATAGGCAACCTAGCAAGAAATGAACGACGATACACATCGCATCCCATCCTGTTAGCTAATGAAACTTACGTGTTGTTTTATTCAGTGAGTGGGCTTAGATAATACCGACACTTAACCGGAATGATAATGATTTATGGAAAAGATTTCGACTCGCTAATTAGATCGGGACGAGTTTCGGAGGTTTTATCTGGAATTGAGACGTTACCTTGTCACGAACTCCAGGATTCGACTAATGCGACGCAGATAAGATGCTGACAACTACGCGCCTTCTTTTAATCGGACACATTAGCGATAAAACCAACGCTAATTTCGACTGATACTTATTAATACACGTAATCGACGTCGATTAACTTAATGTACTTGCAATTGCACTCCATTTTTAACGCCACCAAAAAACAAACTTAAATCCCATCTTCACCAAATTCAAAGAAACCTATTTTATTCACAAAGTTAGTTACCCTTTTAGCTATTTGGTATATTTTTCGACTTGAGAAATATTTAAAACATGCATGTGTACATAAGTGTAATAGAGTAGAATAAGTAAACAAAAAGTAAGTAGAATCGTAGAATGAAATACAGTGCGATCAAAAAGTCTTTCTATCAAGTAGGCGTACTAGTTGAGGACGTATGTCGCTTGGGAGTTTGTATGTCAGCTACATGTCAAAAAATTATTTTATATAAATTAAAATCTAAACAAATTGAATTACTGTATGAAACGTCTTAAAACACCCTAAAATGAGATGTAGTTGGAGTTTATTCATACAAATCGTTCACCACGATTTCTTGTTACACTTTATAAAAAATTATTTTGACATTTCTTATTTACCATTGTATATTTTATCTTCCGCAGACATACGTTTTAAACTTCTAGACTTGCTTGATGATAAACTTTTTGATCGCACTGTATAAAGTAAGTAGGAAAAAGTAAATAAATGTGTGACAACATAAAATGTATAATTTAATTAATACTAAAAGTAAATTTTTTGAGTTTAAAACCTCAAAAAATCGGAAATTTTAAAATTGGATCAAATAACGTTCTTGCCACTTCTAATGTCTAATGATCGTAGAAAATTAGAAAAGTGCATAAAACGTTATTGGGACGAGTTTGGAATAAATCGATTTTTTTTAGATTTCTGAGGGATAGTACAGAGTGGTTATAAATGATTTTCATCTAGCCAGCTTTGGAATTTTTTTGCATGTAACTTTATTTGTGCCGCTCTATTTTTTTGAAAGCTCTAGTTCTGTCATTAGTGTCACTTATTAATTAATAATAAACAACAATTTTTCTCTAATTCAAATTCACATACATACAACATACAACAATTTAAAAAATAGCGCATAAGAGCTTTAAGTAATGTAAAAGTTTATTTCCTTATTTTTTAAATCACGAATGAGAAATTTGTAACTAACAAATGTGGGTATGCGTTGCTGGTGTGTGAGGAATGAATAATTGTCTTTATCTCTAAGAATAGAAAAAATTGTAAAACCGGCTGATAAATCTAAAACGATGGACGGTTTATTGCTCTTAAAAATATGAAAGAACTACATTTTCCAGATACACCTACGCCTCGTACAGGAGCCTCGTCTAGGAATGTTTCTTGATGTTCTCGTGAGTAAAAATATATGTGGGTGGCATAAATATTCCAAAACCACTCTTGCAAACTAATAATTTTAATGAGTTATTTTGTTTCAGCAGACAACTTCTAATACAGCTGTTGAGTTTCGATTAGTTTAACAATCAGCTGGAGCCTGAAAAAAATTAAATGAATAGTAATGTATGTAGGTAGTTACCAGTGATAGACGATTATGATTGTAACTTGTTATTTTTCGAAATCGCTTTTGGTTAAAAACGTTGTGACTAATTGTGAATAATTTTTTTCCTGATCGGATACAACCTTGAAATGCTGAAAAATATTAGTTAGAGTTACAGTACAAATTAATATTGGTACATCAAAATTTTTAATCGCCAATAGCTTGTCTTAATTTAAATTAAATCGAGCCATTTTTAAACCTTAATTTAAACTAATTAAATTGCTTTATGTCTTATCATTAATTATTAAGCTGTACCTGCTTTACATCTAATTTAAATTCGTTTTAATTAATTCATTTCAAACCAACTCAATCAATTAATTCCTAAAATGATTACATTCGAGTCAAAATAAGTATGTAATTTAAATTTATGTCTTCCGGCGTACAAGATTTTGGGCTATACAGCACATAAATAGTATTATCACTTTCACTAATGCGACATTTTCAATTCATTCCGGTTCGAACAAATTGACCACAATTCAGGTTTTTTCACTGGAACATATTCAAATGCCTTTTTTATATAAACAGGCAATAATTATTAGTGTGGTAATTAAATTTGAAAGAAAACGCCATTAACGAAAAGTAACGTTAAGATTTACGCTAAGGAAATATCCAATTATCATTGCGATTATGTAGGTAATTACATTACACGTGCCACCAACTGACGTTTTCTTTGTCAGCACGTGATTTAAAAATTAATTTAGTATTTTTTGGATCCATAACTTTATGTTTTAGTTAAGTCGACTCGATGCAACTTTTAATTAAGCTGTCAAAGGTGTATGGCGGTACATAAATCAATATAAAGCCTTCTTCAATTACTAATTTCATAATTTATTAAAAGAATGAAGACAGTGTCACCAAAATAAAATTGTCTCCTTTTACATTTAATGACATTGTTTTGCAAAAAAAACGTCTTTTTATTTTATTTTATTTAAATCTAGGAACCAATTTTTGTAACAAAATTGAAACAAATAAGCCGTAACTATTAATACCATTCAACAAACTCATCCAATAACTGTTGAATCAAATTATTTGTTATAATGTTTAAACCGCAATGGGAACCAATTTTTGATTTATTTTCATATTTCATCAACTTTAACTTTCAGTTAATAATTTTTAGAGACAATTTAAATATAATCACGATTTTCTATTAAATAGCATGTCACATGATAATCAAATAAATTTCTCTTGTAATAATAGAAGAAAAACAAAATATTTTTTACAGGAAACAAAATGAAATTTCATTTATTTATACAGCTGTTTCAATGGTTATTGAAAACGGATGTTATTATAAAATTATTTTTTAGAATCAAATGAATGTATTAATTTTATTCCATCTTGCACCGATTTCTTTTAATTGGGTAAAGCTTTTTCTTCCTTTCTTGATAATAATAATGATCTAAGTAAGAGCTTTTAATTTTACTTCCACCTTTCTGTGATGAAGAGACAAAACAATTTCAAAAAGTACAGACCTAAAAACTATTCCGGCACACTTACCTAACCGGATAAACTCCCGGAAGAAGTGGAACACCAAGAACTAGGTGTATTTATTCTTATTTCAGAAATACATTTTTCAACTTCTTCTATACTTTTTCCTGACTTTTTTAAATCATATATTAAAAAATATTAATTGGTTTGTTTTTGACTTAATGCCCAATTAAATTTCAGTAGCAACAAATCTTTAACAAAAAAACTTGATTGGAGAAAAGCTCATCTCTTGTGTATTAACCCTCGAATAAATAGTTATGAACTTACCCTACTAAAGCTGGTGGATAAAAGTTAAAAAATCGATTTGGAAATAATCTCCATAGAGCCATCCTCGCACCATTCAGTTGTCTTTCCATAATTGTTTAATTTATGAAAAAAAAAATCATTAAGTCCGGACTAACGTCCCTCTACAATTGCGCTAATGGCGCTTCAATTTACATATTTAAATGGGGCAATTTTAAATCCGTAATCTGTTGGGGCGCAACGTCGCAGAGTGTAGCATCGCGGACGTCCAGATAACGGCGGCCGTGCTCGAGGACATTAATATGAAAAGGAGTGAGGCCGTTATCGCTGAAACTAGGACTGCTGAAGGGTTGTGGGGGGGGGTTGTATGAGTACGAATGTAATCCGGGGTTTATAGAGATGAGCAATTAGGCGGAGTGCATTACAGAAGTCTCATGTGTGAGGGCGCCACTCGTCGATTACTTGGCCGCTGCTGGAGCCGCCGCCAGATGGGACTAATTACGAACTTAAGCCGCCCCCGTATACTCTAATTACTCGGAGCGATGGGGTTGTGCGAACTCCCACGCGCATCAGTCACAGGTGGCTGCCGACTCCTCAACAACCTCAAAAACAATACGCGAATTTCAATGTTGGTCTTCTTGATATTACTATGCTGATTTATTCTCGCACTTGCAAACGAAGATAACTTAAACATGAGTCCGGAGAGTTCATTTCCTCTCGTATTTATTATGGATGAACAAGGAATTGCAAATTTTAGCAACACAATACGCCATTAACTCAATATTAATTAGCATTATTGTTCATACGGCACTGGGTAATTGTTTATTGCAACGGAAGCACCAATTAGCCAAGTTAATTGTTTAATTAAGACCTGATCTGGCCAGTATCAGTCTTGGCACTATTTACGATCTCAGTCAACTTAATTAACTCATCTGTTTTGTCTTTTAGACCACCTGAAACAGACATTAAAAAAACTTACCTACCCACTAAAAAAACACTATGATAACAACTGATACACTAGTGTACTGTTCGAGTTTAGTGGTTCTTCTGGTGAATGTGAACTGACCTTCACCGTCAGTGAAAGACCTTAATGAGTACAGTATTCCTCTCTCCTGCAGTGTGTCCGTTTTGGTGTTGCTCGTCTTTGAAACAGTTATTATGTTGTTGCGACTCCTTTCACGTCTACTCTCTAGGACATGGTATGACCAGTTGAGAATGAAAGTGACAGCATAACGAAAGCATGCTCTTAATACAGAGATCAAAACGTAATCAAAGAGGAAGAAAGTGAAAACGAGATGTTAGATGAGTGTAAATTATCATATATGGAAGCAGCATAATACAATCACAATAACACTATTGATTGCATCATTGGACCTAATCTAAAATACTAATTGTCGAAAAAATGTGAAAATCTTGCTTTCTCCAATAATGTCACCAATGTCCACTATAATCTCCAATTAGCGTAGAAACTTCTCGAGTAATTATATCCAACAAAAAATTGATGATTCAGAAATTAAAAAATCAGTGTCATAAGAGAAAAGTGTCGAATTGTTTTCTCGATTTCCTGATTTTTTTATTGCGGTAACTTAATATAGATTAGATAATATTAATAAATATGTAAAAAAAAGAGAAAGAGAGCGTCCAGAGCCTTTCAATGGCAATTCACCATACTTGATATGGTCCACTTAACTAAAAGCTTTGGCCAACAACAATCGCAGAAAAGGCCAACGCTCTCGTCTTGGTGCATTATTTTTTTTATTGACCGTTTATTGAGGGGTCGCACATTTTTAATGATTATGTACTCTACATCGGAGAAAACCTTTCACTGATGGCCCCACCTTACAGTATCTATAAAAGACAGCTCCACGCAATTCGCATCATCAGTTTCATTTAACTTTCATTCGACGCTTCTAGTGTAGAAACATGAGATTTATTGTGAGTGTCATATCCCGAATAATTTTTTTGGAAATTGACTGTTTTTCTTAGGGCGCCAGCATCCTTTTGGCATTGGCTTTAGGCATAGCGCATGCCGGATTCGCAGGCAGCCTCGATCATGGTGCGGGCGGTGGCGGTGGTTATGATTACTCCGGCGGCGACCAGGGTGGTGAAGGACACTTGGAGCACGGTGGAGGAAATCAGTTAGACATTGGTGGAGGAGAAGGAGGGCATTTGGAGCTTGGAGGCGGTGGTCACCTGGAACAAGACGGCGGCGGCGGAGGCGGTGGTCATTTCGAACAAGGCGGTGAAGGCGGTGGAGGCCACCTTGAGCTTGGCGGAGGCGGTGGAGGACACTTTGAAGTTAGCGGAGGCGGTGGTCACTTCGAACAAGGCGGCGGAGGCGGTGGAGGCCACCTTGAGCTTGGCGGAGGCGGTGGAGGACACTTTGAAGTTAGCGGCGGCGGCGGTCATTTGCAACTAGGTGGCGGCGAAGGCGGTGGTCACGGACTTGAACTTGGTGGAGGAGGTCACGGTCTTGAACTTGGAGGAGGAGAAGGTCATGGATTTGAGCATCACGGTATTGATGGAGGGTCTGAGCACCATCACATCCCGACCAAAACTATTGAGCATACAAAGCCTGTCCCGGTGCATATTGTGAAAAAGATTGGAGTTCCTGTTCCTCATCCTGTAGGAGTACCTGTACCTCAAGTTTTTAAAGTACCCGTTCCTCAACCTTATGCTGTCCATATTCCGGTGCCACAACCTATCGCTATCCCTATCTACAAGCTGGTTCCTCAAGAAATTGAGAAAAAGGTTCCAATTACCGTTGAGAAATTAGTCCCTGTCACAGTCGAAAAGCCCTTTAAAATTGAAATTGAAAAGCACCATCCTGTATACATCGCAAAACCTTATCCAGTTCACATCCCTGTTTATAAGCACGTATTCCATCACGTTCCCAAACACGGCGGTGGAGGCGGTGGTGGAGGTCATGGATGGCATTAAGCGTCGAATTAGGCTCATCTGATCATTTCCATTTTTTATCATCAACTCTTAACTTATCATCGCGATCATTTTGTTGTTATTTTGTTACGTTTTGTTGAATTTTGTACAAATAAACATTTTTTCTTATATCTGATGAATTTATTTTTATCCTTGAACTCTCAAAAATGTTTACGATAGTGCGACAGATTTTGAACTTGATTGATTGCCTGGCGGCAAAATTTCTCTTTTAAAGTTAAATTTACTATTAAAAATTTAAACTTTTACAAGCGAATTATGAAACATAATTTTGTATCTTTTCTTAGCGACCATTGTTTATCAAAATTTTTAAAACAACGATAGCATTCGACCATCAAATATTTATTGAAAAATACAATTTTCTGTTATTAATACATTTTTCTTATATAAATATTTATTATTTAAACTAACTAATAATAAAAGCACAATCGATAAATCGATGTGTTATCAAGATAATTTAAAGAAGTTCATAAAAATTAATTAAATGTTAATAAAATTAAATGTTAAGTCATGGCATCAGAATATATGTTATTAGCTTTAAAGTTTAATAACCCATGATTTTTATAATCGACACGCAACAAAAAATATATTCAATGCAGTATAATACAGGTGTATATGTAATGCCAACAAAATAATAATTAATCTATGAAATTTTAAAACACAGGAAAAGTCCTTTTTTCTTCTACAAAGTTATTTATTGTAATTTGTAATTTTTGTACAAATAAATAAATATAACACTGACTGATGGAACTCGAAAAATAGGTATGATTTTAACTTTTTAAATCACATATTTTTAATAGAAACGGCAAAAAGGTTAATATTATTTTTAATTAATCATAATTGTATTAAATAGTAGAACGCAAATCACAGCTGGTACTTTTATTACCATATATAGTTTTTTTTTTCCTATGACGATGTGTAAATTGTGTGAAAGTGATGAAATGTTATACGAAAAAGCTGGTTAAAGTCCTTTTTATCACTATTTACACCTTATTTCACACTTCATTGATTATGTCGTTCATAAATTAATGTAGAACGAATGAGCAGAACAGTATGAAAATCGACCCAAATTCCCACATTGATTCATAATTGACTTTTTTTAATTATTGTCAGGTTAGTACCCTCTAAAGCTGTATGCTCATAGAAAACGTGTTTTGCCCAGGTTAGTAATACCAATCGACTGATTTAAATTGAATATGTTCTCAAACTTTTTGTATTTTTTTGGTTACACCTTTCCATCTCCCCACTTTAAAGTTGCCTTTTCTGGCCTCTTCCTCAACTTTCATAGAATGTAACTTTCATTAATTATTTCTAAAAACTCAGATTCATACAATTTTTTTCTTTTTTACATAATTGGAATAGATGACTATCTTTTGTCGGTCTTTCTAAAACAGACTTGACCTCTATATTTGGTTGATTTTATTAATTAACACCTAGTTGTAATTCTACTAAACGTATCCACCATTGATAAAGTAGTTATTACATGATTTGAAAAATACTGCCTTTTGAGTACTTATCTTAAATAACAAGAAAGTTTGAGTCGTTAAAACATACTCGACATAATGCAAAATCAACAAACACATAATAACATTCTTGAATTTTGACCTTCAAATTAATCCGGTCTGAAATCGTTCATCTTCCAAATAATTATACATAACTCTGGTAGCTCTAAGCGATCATGTATCGTGTCAAAATACTCGTAGTTGTATGTGAACTTCAGAAGTTGTTTTGACAAGTTTATAATAAGATTCGAGCTTTTGCATATAATATATAATTAGGTACTTTAATGGTTTTTATTTTTAGAGACAGTACGTTGTAGACTTATTAATTAGGATTTGAGCATTCCAATTAAAAAAATGGTAGATGAATTTCAGGGTTCTATTTAATTTCGCGTATATGCTCTAATTGTGAGAGAGGTCTTAATCTTCACAAAGCATACCAAAAATTTGCGGAGAATGTTGTCAGTTGGTTTTAGAAAGGAGAGAGATGCTCTAATTTAATGTGTGATTGTATATGGAACTATTGAGAGTCTTGAAATATCCCACCCAGTTACTAATTTTTAAAGCAATTTTATTACTTTCACCTAATTTTTAATCTTTGTTTTATTGTTATAAATTTATACGACCTTCCAAGGAATGCAAATTGTTTTACGAAGCCCCACACTCACAAAACCCAACCCCACTTAATAGCGAATGGCTCCTTATATAAATCTGTGGTAATCCAGATCTCATCATCAGTTTCAATTCAAACAGATCATCGTTCTTACCCAAGTATACAACCATGAGAATTATTGTAAGACCATCAGTTTTTTTCCAGTGCCATTTTAACTTTTTCTTGCAGGGTGCAACCGTAATCTTCGCTCTAGTGTTGGGAACCCAAGCCGGCTTCTTAGGCGACTCCGGAGGCCACGAGGGCGGCGGACTGGAGCTGGGTGGCGGCGGCGGCGGTGGAGGTGGTGGCGAATTCCATGGCTGGGAAGGTGGCTGGAAAGGTGTCGATTTCGGTGGCCAGGACGGCGGCCACGAGCACCACGAAATTCCAACCAAGACCATCGAACATACCAAACCCGTTCCAATCCATGTGGTCAAAAAGATCGGAGTGCCTGTGCCCCACCCCGTAGGTGTCCCGGTGCCCCAAGTCATTAAAGTCCCGGTGCCGCAGCCCTACCCCGTCCGCATCCCTGTGCCCAAACCGGTGGCAATACCAATCTACAAATTGGTACCACAAGAAATCGAAAAGAAGGTCCCCATTACGGTGGAGAAACTCGTTCCTGTCTATGTCAAAAAACCATACAAGATTGAAATCGAGAAACACCATCCGGTCCACATCAACAAACCCTACCCCGTCCATGTGCCCATCTACAAACATGTCTATCACCACGTGTCCAAACACGGAGGCGGTGGTGGCGGTGGTGGTGGAGGAGAAGGTGGACATGAAGGCGGCGGATGGCATTAGGTCCAATTTTGTTTCTTGTTGATTAATTTTATTTCCTGTTGTTGTTATTTCTTTTTTTACTTTTATAATTAAAGACTGTGTCTGTTTTCTTCAATTTGATTTTTAATTTGAACTTAACCCTCGAAAATTAACTGGACTGATCTACAAAATGACTTTCTTTAAATGAACTCTTACTTTCACACGACTTGAACGTCGGAGCACTGACCGTGAAATTGTAGCTCACATTAAACGGATATTCCAGATTCTAATCCGGAAAAAAAAGACATTTCACTTTTTGAAATTATGAACGATTTCACTTCAAAAAGGACAAGCAAAATGAGTGAAGGGACAGTTAGAAAAAAAAGTAGATTAATCGAAGTGAATAAAAGGGTTTCTTGCTGATTTGTAGTTACGATAGAAAATGAGTAGCCTTTCTAAAGCGCTATTTTAAATTTAGAAAAAAATGCACACAGGCGCATTTTCACTTTCATATAAATGTCATCGTTCCACATAAATTCAGCAGTCGCGTCCAGCAATAGAAATTTAATGGAAGGCAAAAGAGAAAATTCTTGTTTTTTGTGGCAACATTTGCGCAGCTAATTGCTTGGCGCGACTCTCAGGAATCATCCAATTATAATTTAATTAGTGCGGCGCGAAATTTGGCCGAAATCCGTTAAAAATAATCCACGTCTGTGTAAACGACATCATCAGGTGCGTTTTTAGTGGTATCATTTGGAAGTTATGAAAGCGTCCATTATGCCAAGAAAGGGTTCGAGTTTTAATCCTCGCCCTCGATTTATGCAAATCCAAAATGCCACCATTTAATTCTAAAATGCAGATTAACTTTGTTGTCCGTTCGTTGTTGTCGCAGTCGTCGTCATGTCATTTCCTCCCTCGCTTTATCTCTACTACCCCATTCATTAGAGGACCTTGTGGGTACTAATTTTTACGAGGCTGTTATCGAAGGATCAGACAGCCGTTGTTCAAGAGAAGAGAAAACACTGGCTTTATGTGAGCTTTTCGTCACCTGTCACTGAACCTGAAGAAGTGTTAACGTTATTCCACGTTTTATGTTTACAGACGTTAAGTAATTAATTAAGGGAATTAAAGGGGACACTGTGCGAGTGCCAGGTAACGGACGCTTTTGCTGACAGATTATGCCCACAAAAACGTATGCACTAATTGGCTAATTGCTGTTATTACTCTGCACATGCAACAATCTTGGTCTAAACCGACTTGTTTCATTCCACAATCAACAAATTTATGATAATTCGATGATAATCTAAACATTTCATTACATTTCATGATAATATCTATCGAAACTTTAAGCACCAAAACCAAAAATTACATGCAATTAGAAAGAAATATAATGAAGCGAAAGGCAAACTCGCATGAATTTTGATCGCCAAAATTTACAAATTTACAATGTCGTTTCACTAGAGAAATTATTTCGTTTCACATTATTGTATAATTATTATTTGAATATGTATTTTTGATTTTACATTCAGATAATTAACTTTTGATGTTTAATTTCAGAGACAACTTTTTCTTTTATAGATTGTCAATATTTATGTACATTTATTACAGGCTATATACCATCAAGTTTATTGCCAATCTAATCATAAATGCTCATTTTTGCATTTCATGCTTTATTATTGGAAAATCAACTAACACAATCGACACATTCTTTCACTTTTTTACAAATATTTTTCCTTTCTCTAAAAATGTAGGTCAAATATTAGTGAACAATTACTTGGTTTATTTTTAGTACAAGTATTAAGAAAGTGATTTTCAACTAGTTAAGATTCATTATCTTACGTTAGTGCTCTTAATTATACATTCATGTCAACCTTTTTATTTGTCTTCGTCTGGGGAAGTCCCAGAAATCCTTTCCTCACCTTTCAAAAGAAATAGGAACCGGAAATTTACAGTTTTTAATTAGTATGAGAACTTAGTCAACTAATTTTTCAATGCTACTTGTTTACTCTAAAAAAATATTTTTAATTTTTACTTATTTTTTATAAAAAAACTCGATTATAATCAAGTGTCTGTTTAGCTGAACAAGTGATGTACTAAGAACAGTGATGTACTAAGATTCAAAACATAAGAAAAAAGGTATGTATCTCTTTAATAGATTTGTTCATTCTAACTGGACAAATTTTTTCACATTTTATTGCTTTAATCGGTTTAAACAATCCGTTCTTTCCTTTCTTCACGCCTCATTAATTCTCAGCAAACATCATCGTTAAAAACAACCTTTGTGATACAAAAGCAATCGCGGGACATGTGTGAAGGGCATTAAAACTTTTTATAAAAAAAATGTGGAATTCAAATTAACTAACATTGCTTAATTTTGTGCTGACGTACAGTTTGTAATTTTCGATCATGATGGGTTAAATTGTCCATATTTGTATTAATCAGAGGCAAATGGAGCCGCAGAGGATTGGGCTAGCTAATTAGAGTCCCCAGTTCGTGGCAATTAGTGGCGTTTACATGTGTAAAGGAGCTCGAATGCGAGATATAAATAATAGTGGAGAGGCTGGTGTCGTCGTAAACAATAGACGACATTTTCCTCCAAGTGTACGGCAGCATTCATTAACTCCCTCGATTATTGGGCCCTCGACACAATGGAACGGACAAACAGTGCTCTCAAGTGCATCCCCATTGTTGTTGCACCACATCGTTGACTCGCTTTGTCAATTAAAAACATAGGGGTTGTTAACACGTTACCTTTTTAAAAAGCGCGGCCCAAAAGAGAAAAAACAAGAGTATCGGAGCGGAATCACTGCTCGTTTTTGCATAGGGAAAATCTCGAGCGCGTGTCAAAGCGCGACGATTTTAATCCTGAAAGAGTGACGCATTTTCGGTCTTAAAGATGTTGGTTTATTGCTTCATCGTGCGGATCGCGTATTTTTTGCTAGTTGTTAGCGCGAATGCCACCGAGTCGAGTTTGTGGCATTTCTGTCGGTGTACATTTTCTGAAAGCAAGCATTTACTTCTTTTTTCACCTACTACAGCCTATAAAGAGCTGCTACAGGAGCCATTTTTCTTACCTTCAACATAAACGAGTCGGATTTGCAACTTGCCGAGCTAAAAAACGACCTTTAATTTCTGTCACAACCTTACCTCTTTTTCTGAAAAAAATCACATCGGTGGTCTCATCGACCCAGACACGACCCGATTGAAGCTAACTCTGCATTTTTACAGAGCGGTGAAAGATTCGTTGAAATCCACTTTCAGCAAATCACTAATTAAATGCTAACTCAACAACTAGCATTTCGAGAATATACTTATCACAAACTGGAAGCGATTTACGTCAAAACATACCAAACGGTCTCACTATAAACTTTAAAGAAACAATTGTTTTAAACTAATTACCTACTAATTAATTACTACTGGCGCAGCGAGGGGGGGTTTTGGGGATTAAAATCAGACAAAATTATTTTGTAGTGGTAATAAAAGTAAAATTATATTTTTGAAACAACCAAATTAAGCATTCGAATTTTGTATAGGTACAATTATTTTCAATGTCATAACTTCAGAAGATTCACAAATTTTTATTAAATTGCGGCAAAACTGTATCTCAACCGTTATAATGGGCATACATAGATAATTATGTAAATTGTTCCGATTGGTATCGAAAAAACTGCAAAATTCTTGATCGTTTAAAAGTTATAGTTGAATTAATGTTTTAGATATTTTTGACTTTATCAGCAATTTTCTCGATAACTATTTAACGTAAGATTATATTTTTTATATAATGACAAATTAAATTTGCTTTCCAACGGTACCAAACAAAAAAGACTAGCGTCAATAATTTCGAAGTTATTAGCACTAAACGGCTCCGGGTACCAAAAATCGCCTAAAATTTCGACAAAAATCAAAAAAAATACAAACTTCAATATAGAACTTCATATTTGCACTCTTCAAAGTTCAAGAGACTTAGAAAAGTACTAAACGTTGTAAAAATGCAAGAAATAAATTTTAAATTTAAAAACTGAATAATATAGCATTATTCTTTTTTTTTTTTCAAAAGTGGAAAATGTTGAACTGGTCTCAATTTTGAAATCGAAAAAATGTGTGTAACCCATAAAGCTACTAGGTTGATAGAGAGGTTGATACCACAAGACCTATTTTATTTTTGTTTTTATACAAAAACTTTTCGTACCAAAAATGATAAACATTATTTCTGAGCACATGGTGCATGTCTGCTTTGTTTATCCATTTAAGGTATCAGAAATTCCTTGAAGGGAAACAGCGGATGATCCCAGTCGAGTGATTTAGTTGGTTTGCGAAAAAGGCCATGGTGGAGATGGTCGCCATGATTGTTCGTTTTCCGCCATCAATAGCACGCGGAGCGGTCGAAAAGGCCTCTAGTGTTCGATAATTGCGTCGGTCTGTTGATTTTTATCCCAGCGTTTGATTTATCAGCGTGGATCGCGAAGCTCGTTTTCGAAGTCGATGGTACCTGTAGATATGGGTATCGCCATTAACGAGACACAATGGTCCCATCTCATCACCGTGTCTGTATGCGAATGGCCCACAGCGTTTCACATAAATCCTCATGCCAGGTATATAGAGTGGCAGTCGTGCGCTCTACAATTTGTTTCCAGTCACCGTGATTTTCACATATTATTTTTACATCAATCACGGTTTCAGCACTCAATTAGCCCTGATTCGGACTATCAATCTCCGGCTGGTTACTGCTTGAGTGACTGTTCTTGCTGCTGTCATGCCGCCGACCGCGCGGGCCTAGCGCCGCGCCTGTCTGTCATTCTGCCACGTCCAAATAATCAAGACAGACACATAGACCAACTCCCGATCGAATCCCTTGAAAATTCCTCTTCGTTCCCAACTTGTCAATCTTTTTCAAACGGACCTTCAATTCCGCATTTAAAAAAAAAATAACACCGAGCCCTCAACGGTATTTATTGCACAAATAAATTTTTACAAACTAACTTTTATTTGTTTACCCACACATACATGTCTTGATGAGAGTACAGCGAGAAAATATGATTTTGAGCATCAGATGGTCACATAATACTCGTACAACTCGTTTAAACACACCAATTTATTTGTAAACTGACCCTTTAGATGACAACGGCTGATCGTGGGACAATTTTAATGGACACAGCTCTTGACTGAAAGTTCTTGCAATTATTAGTAACTTGATTTCAAAATTTGTAAATGCAAATCGACATCCACTGTGTGGTTTCACTATTTTTTTTCATACTACTCCAGCGAGAAAAGTAGTTAATCATGTATTTACTCATACAGTTCTACATTTACATATGTTTCAGCTTTCAGTCTTACCTACAACACATGAGTATCCACTTACAACAAAAAATCAAAACAAAATTCTATTTATAAAATTTTTCTAGTAAAATAATGACTACGCTGCAAAACGCATTGTTCCTAGTATATTTTGATCGAATTATGAAAAAAAAGTTTTTTTATGGTCATAATAAGCTCACTAATTTTAGAAATTTGAAAAACTAGAACAAGTTTGTTTGCGAGGTTTTGTATGTACGGTCTCTATGACTCAAAAGTGTAAATATGTAAAATTGGAGTTAACGAAGTGCTTTATTAATTGTGTACTTGTTTTTTTCAAATATTTTTATTACTTATAAAAAGAATTTTGTGCCGAAAAATAAGAAAAAAAATCATTGTAATAAAATTTTCATTATTTATTTCATTCAAGTTTTGCTAATTATCAGGTGAATATTGCCAATTTATTGAATTCTTGTCGTAGTTTTCTGTTCCCAATTAACTGTAAATTATCGACCGAAAAACCTGCAGCGATGCGATGTTGCTTTCGATGCTTTCGTTAGTGCATATTGTGGTGAGAACGGTCACCTTGCCATTACGAATTTTTTACATAATTAAACGCTTCCTCTGTAGCAATAAAAAGATGAGATAAGACTTTTATTCAAATAGGCATGGTAAGACGTTTTATTACCTCATGAAAAATAACGACTCCACCATTCTCCCTATCGCACATATAACATTCACATGCTTTTTAAATTGGTTTTATACTTAATTAAAATTTTATTGGGTGATTATACTTGCCCCCAATATCGAACCATTAACCATCCAAGATGTAGCCTCAAATCTTAATAATGCTATTCCTCAGACTCATTTTTTTCACCGAGATAAGATTAGTGGTCGTCACAGACGCCCCAAGCTCTATAAAATTGACAACGACCCCGTTTATATTTTGTAATACAACTTGAAAACGCATAAAAGATGCCCTAATACACTCGAATGGCTCCTTAAAACGATTGTACCTCAAGAATCTTGCCCTGGTGCATAATCGAGAGATAAAGGTTCCAGAAAGCTTTTCACGCAATGTTCATTGGTAATCAAAGCTACATAAAATCAAATTTTACGTAAAATCTTTTTCTGTCAATATGAGTTATGAAAGTCGAAGTAGAATATTCGGGCGCGATTTCGGCGTGCGGGTTGATTTACGCTTGTATGATGGTCCGGATTACCGCAGAGGCGTGTGTCCAGCAAGTCGATATAAATATTCATCGAGCGGGGCGACGGGAGGTAATTCGGGGGGAAATTTTCAGGGCGGGTCTCGTCCATAACACATGCAACCTGCACATTAATTACGAGCTGTCAGGACCCCCGCGGCAGGGTAAGGGCCATGCTGGGAGCCCCCGCCGGCTAGCTTCCCTTCTCAACCAAAAAGGAGGAAATCCTGAAAAATGGGTGGCCCTGCAATTTTAGACTCATGGGTGCGACATCTTCATCATGCACATGCGATGATGGTTAATTAACTTATTGGAGAATTTGTCCTGCAAACGCGTGACTGACGACGAGAGATAACGCGAATTAGTCGACGAGAACGACCTGGCACCGATATCGCACTCGCCACGGGCTTACCCCCGAAACGGGGCGCACGATATCGGGCCGGCACGAAGCGCAAGAGGGCTAAGGTAGACTAACTTTTGCTGGTAGAAGCTAAATAAAAAAAAATACTATTTTTCAATCTTAGTGTCATTTTCGATCAATAGAATTATTTAAAAAAACTTTTGTATTAACAATTTATTCTATTAGACTTTACATTTAGATTTTTTCAAAGTCAACAAGTCACATTTTGCTAAGAAAGTAATTAACTTTTTAAAAGTGATTTTCTTACAATACATTTTTTAATTTGCTTTGAGAATAAAAATAATTTAAATCTCACATTATCGTTGTCTATTTTCTGAATGTCTCTCATCAAGTTTTTATATTTAACGAAGACTATAATTTAATAGCGTGGCAATTAATTTATGATTATTAATAACTAATGAGTTTCTTTTATTATTACTTCTTAGGATCGTTTATTTTGTGAATGTATTTATTAATTGGGGACTGACATTTTCATAAATACAATATTTATTATAATTTTTAATTTACTAAAAATGCCACTAATATACAGTATGTCCCCGGATTGAGTTTACAAGAAGAAAAAAAATTATCTTTGATTTTACGCAAAAACTGCAAAAGAAAAACATTTTTTGCTTCACCTGAAACTGTCAAATCTGTACTTAAAACTTAATTATTCTGATTCAGTGAAAAAATGTAAATTTTTTAAGTGCTATCACATTAGCGGTTTAATTTATTTGACAACTATATGTCACTTTGACAATAAATTTATTAACTGAATAATGATGGTTTTTGTTAAAAATGACTTTGTTTCTTATCCTAAAGCTGTGTCTTTGAGTTGCCATTTATTAAAATTATATGTTTCACAAACATTTTTCTTATTTAACTTGCGTAAACTCATTTGTCAAAGTGACATCATTGTCAAAATAATAAAACCGCCAATGTGATCGGACTTAAAAAGCAGAGAAAAATTATTAAGTCCAAATTCAAGAGAAAAATGAACTTTTCTTTCTACTGAAGTAGAATAATGAAGTTTTAATTATAGATTTGCTCGTTTCAGATGTTTTTCCTTTGCAGTTTTGGGGTAAAATCAAAGATATTTTTTTTTTCTTCTTGTAAACTCAAATGCGGGGACATACTGTATAAAATAATATAAATAATATAAATATATAAAATAATATAAAATAAAAAACAAAA